TATTGCGCCTTCCGTCCTTATACAAGCTGCTACTTGCAGCCAACAACAATGCATCCGTCGAGACTTTCTCCCAAATGCCTGATAGTTGGTCCTTTTCTCTGGGCATCCAACATTCCTAAATGATGATATTTCCATCAACAACTGAGCCGTGTCTAGGCATTCTTTGTTACTTTTTTCAAAAGCTGCCTTATTTATATCGCATTTCTTCCACTACTGGACAAGTCTACTATTGAAATCGCGCAGATTTTTATCAATTTCGGAAAGCTCCTTTTCGTTACAATCATATTTTTTACAAACTTCTTCTAACGCAAAGCTTTTTATTACGAAGGACTTCTTAGTGAAGATCCCTTCGCCGTGCCATACTAAGAAAAGTGCGCGCTTCGACATTGACATTCTTCCTAAAATGTGAAATAACTTGTAGATACGCAGAAATACACATTTCATTTTTGGTATTTCGGACAGACAATGATTCACACTTTAACAAACAATTGCAACCAGAGTGAATCCAGGTGAATCTGTTAAGCTCTACTTCACTAAAGACTGGTGTGCGCTCTATTCCGCACATTGTTAATACACTCGAAACCCACTACAATTTATGAGTAACACATATACTGACACGTCACAAGCACAGATTTTCTATGTAGCACATACCTTTATAGTTGTTAAAAACCAAACTTGAAATATGCAACCAATAAGCAAAAGGGCGCCAAAATTGTATATATCACCTGCTGAAAAACATATGTTCACTTTGACAGTTCACAGCTGATCATCAGCTGATGGATGAGCTTAGAAAACATCAATTAGCATCTAATTAAGGTGTATGTTATCGATAGGTAAACTTAAATTAACGTTTAATTAAATTTGAAAATCATAATTTAATGCCGCTAGCGAGGCCAAAACGACCACTGTGCGTTGGGCCCTGATGTCCCAGCTGTGTACTTTGTATTCTTTGGTCTAGGTAATTAATCTAGTTAACAGTTACTGTGTTTTTGCGATCCCGAATTCACGTTTTCATTTCATGATTTCACGCGAGTCGTGTGTGCATAAGCGCCATTTCGTGAATTCGGCAACTCACGAAAGTTGACAACGATTCCAGCATCAAAACATGAATCAGGTGGCAACGCCGTGCATAAAAGTTTAAGCATAGTACTGAGTTGACGAAAATCCGCTGTTGAAATTCTGATAGCGATTTTGCACTTTATTCACTACCGAGCTAGTGTGACCAAAAAAATGAAGAAATAAGGTAATACTGAACAGCTGTTGTTTGTAAACAAAAAAAATTAGCAAAAATGAATTTAAAACGATTGGATGTTGGTGTATTGTTTATGTATTTCGCCGCTAAGGAGCTGATTAAGAAATAGAAAACTGGGTCCATGATACAATTATATAAGGTAGTCCATTCCACTGACATATCGTTCGGGTTTGGTCCTTTAATTCCAAACTGTCAAACTGAAAGGTGATTTTGTTTTCATACCTTTAACCCTTAAGTGGCCAAGCAAAAAATGACTTTTTGCTATTATTGTCGCAAGCACGTGCTAGGCGTAAAGTTTGATTTTGACGAAGAATTTGAAGAGGTAAACGAGTTGACGGAGGATGCACTTGAATACCTGGCAGGTTTTGTCATAAAAAAATTACGTTTGTGTAATGAGCTAGCAGATGAGTCGACGTTTACATATGTAGCATGGAGGGCTGATGAAGCCTTCATCGACATTTAAAAACAAAATAAAACAACTTGAACTCATATTTTTACATATTGTTAAGGACACATTTCAAATAACTAAAAATTTAAAACACACATTGTTAAACGCCGCTGAGCAGGTCGATATAAGTGTAAACATAAAAAAATTTTATTTTAAGATACGCATACACTTTAGAATTAAGAACTTAAACAAAAGATTGGCTGTCCAAAAACAAAAACAAAGAATAATGTCAAACTCTAAACTTATTAAAATAAAATGATAAACACTTGCACCATGCTCCTTGTAAGGGTTAATCAAAGTACTGTATAGCCGTTTCACTCGCACTATTCAACGCTTACTATGTTAAAACAAAAATAACGGACTTAAGTCAACGAATGGACTACCTTATATAATTGTATCATGACTGGGTCAAAATCAAAATCCAAATCAATTACAAATCATTTCAATGCCATTTTATGGCATTAAAATGCCCCTTGTGGGTCAAATCCCATATTATGGGCTTCGCCTTGACCGCAGAAATTAATTTTAATTTGTCCTGGCGCGTCGAAAATTTTTCGGGCCGACTATTTTTTTGTTTGGTCAATTTTATATGGAGTTTGACAGCTGTCACTCGTTGGACAGCGGATTTTCGTCAACTCAGTACTATGCTTTAAAATTAATGAGATTTCCATTGCAACTTTGGAAAATAATTTTCGGGTTCTTATATGCCGATTTTAAATGAAAAATTTATTTTTATACCCTTGCAGAGGGTATTATAATTTTTTCCAAAAGTGTGCAACGCAGTGAAGGAGACATATCCTATGTCTCATATGTAGGAGACATATAATTTATATATATTCTTGACCTACCAAATTTCATAACGATCTTATAGCTGCCATATAACTGAACCATCGGAAATGGTATTTGGTAGAAATACCAACTTTCGTGTTTTTGAAGATAGAAACTTGGAATTTTTTTTTAGATTTTTTATTGTAATTAATGCTCTAATTAATTGGTTATTTTATGATATTCTCATAAGGATCGGGCAACTATATCCGATGTTTGAAATATATATCCGGTTTTAACTGCAAGGATATATCAACTTCGGCTCCGCCCGAAGTTAGCTTACCTGTTTTGTTACCTATCACGTTGCTTCGTTTGTTTACTTTTTGTAAAAGACTGACCCGACTAAAATACCTTATTTTACACGACTGACATCAAAAAATCAAAAATCTACTAAAATCAAATCACTAAATTATATGGGTCACATAAACAGGTGTTATTTCTATATAGCGCTTTCAAGAATTCGTGATGGCCATCGCATAAACAGAGTAAGTAATAGTCTACGAAAATCGTCTAGAGGTTGTGCGAATGTTTGAAATTCACCGCGCAAGAAAAAAAAAATTCACATTAAATTTTATACTTAACAAAATTATCCGGTCAATGTGCATGGTGGAACCGTATGTTCCATCAGAGAACAGTGTAAGAATATGAATTCTCCCCCCACACCAAAACAGGTTGCAGAGAAGCTAGAGAAGAGAAAATTAGAGAAGTCAATCCAGCGAGATGGATCAAAATGGAGAGGAAACCGAGAGTAGAAGACCGGGCCATGGAGCAGAAGAAACAATGGAGGAGAAACGCCGTGGAACGAAGTGATCATTGGTGCAACAGCGCGACCGTGACCAGAAAAATGCGCTGGAGGAGAAATGTCGTGTATGGGAAATGCTATGGAACTTAGCGATCCTGGAAGGCCGCATAGAAATTTCAAAGGACCATGGTGAAAGCAGCACAACAGAGATCGAGCTCCGATCGAGGTCCGAAACTTGGGGAAATGAGGAAGCATAAAAAGAGACCAGCCAAAAGAGTGTGTCGTGGTTCTTGAATATGTCATGAGTAATGGCAGGAGGCAGTTGTCTCACCCACAGAGGGGAGAGTAAATCACGAAGCTGAAACCACCAACCATCTATAGAGGGGCACACACATTGCTTTCGTTCCTCCTTTGTTGTTGGATTGTTTTTTTTCATATAGGTAAGAAAAGTCATATAATACATGTACATTTATATGGCTCCAAGCATAGGCAAAGGCCAATTACAAGATTAATTTTGTGTGTTTTCCCAATTCTTCTCGATGGTGCTAACTCGAATGTATTTTGTTGCTTGATTCCGAAAACTTTTTGTTGCAAGAAATACACTGATTTTGTGGTTGGCCGAACGGTCAAATTGAATCGATGAATTTCGTTTTCGCAGAAAATTTTTTATGTAAGAAGCTATGTAAGAAGAAGAGCTTATGTAAGAAAAAAGAGAACTTACTGGATTCGCAAGGCATGCCAACGCATAATTTACAATTAAAGGTTGGATCACCAATTATTATACTTCGTAATCCGAACCCGCCCTGCTGTGCAACGGTAAGCGATAAGTCATTTAAAAATGAATGAAAAGCGTGATCGAAGCCAGCATTTTAAATGGAAAGTTCAGAGATGAAAATATACTAATACCACGGATTCCTATTATACTTACAGATGCGCCAATTCAGGAACAATTCGGGAACAGGATCGTCCGACTAAATCCTATAGCTGCCATATAAATGATCAGAATTGCTATAACTTTGGTGTTTTTAGAGTTAGAGAGTTCGGATTTTGCATGAATGCTATTTTTGGCAAAATATTACGATATCCTTATAAATGTCATAAAGATCGGCCGACTATATCCTATAGCTGCCATATAACTGAACGGAAATGATCGGAATTGCTATAACTTTGGTGTTTTTAGAGTTAGAGAGTTCGGATTTTGCATGAATGCTATTTTTGGCCAAATATTACGATATCCTTATAAATGTCATAAAGATCGGCCGACTATATCCTATAGCTGCCATATAACTGAACGATCGATCCAACTTTCGTGTTTTTGAAGTTAGAAACTTGGGACCTTTTTAGACATTTTATTGTAATAAATTGGTTATTTTATGATATTCTCATAAGGGTCGACCAACTATATCTGACGTTTTTGATTTATAGCCGGTTTTAACTGTAAGGGTATATCAACTTCGGCTACGCCCGGAGTTAGCATTCCTTTCTTGTTTTATTTAAAAGTCGTAAAAAATACCCTACCCTGCTTGAAAATCCCAGATTTCAATTTATGAAATATGCAATTTATGAAATATGTCAAGTGGCATTGCGTCAAGTTGACAAAGTTTTAGACCATTATAAATTTATATACATATATATAAATTTTTTATAAAAAAAATATATATAAATTTAAGTCAACTCTTTGAGTTCCTTAAAGTAATTACATATATAATAATGCGAATTTATTATCTTTTAAGGGCTATAATGCATTCGGTGGGCATTCATTCCGCAATGGCAATCAAGCGGCAACGCAAACGGCGCGACGAACAGAAGAGAGCAAGGGAAAGACGATACAGTACACAAAGCTCTGAAAGCGGAGATACTTTTCACTCTCCAACTGGATCCGTCAGGCGTAAATATCACCACTCTCATGCGGCTCAGCCCCGACCTAGAATGATAGACAGCCAGGTTGTAAATTTGCAAGAGTTTGCATTAATTTTAACGTCAATGTCTTCCAATATCACACTATTTTAATGCATAGACTTAAATTGTAGTTTGTTAAGTTGTATCCCAGGATTACTGGTAAACTTTTGTAGTTTTAACAATTGTAAAGCAGAGCTGGGAAGCCGTAACGGGGCCGAACACATTTATACTTTTTTTAAAAATAGCACCAGAACATGATGTGAAAGATAAGTGATTGTGTTAAAGGAATTGTCGCTCTTGTTCCGGTACTCGTAGGGTACAAGGTTATATTGTATTCGTGAAAATGTATGTAACACAGAGAGATTATGCAAGGAGACTTTTATAATAGAAGCGCAGTTCAATTCAAATTTTGTTCACGCTCCACAATGCCCACGAAAATTGCGTATATCTGCAGCACCAGTGCAGAAAGGTATTTAGTAAAAGTTTTGATACCAAACTATTTCAATCAATTCGGTTCATTTCAATCGGTTCATGTTCGGTTCAATTCGGTTCATGTTTACTTTTACGAAGTGAAATTTGACAACCCAAATTTACTGTAAATTCAACCCACACCTTATTTGCTTGGGCAAAATTACTCCTACTTTATTTGTCACAGTCATACCCCTTTGATTCCCCTCCTTTCAATTCCATGATCCCACACTATCTACCTCTCACAAACAGCTTTTTACTTAAATTTAAATAATTATTCCACTTTCTTTTTATCATGTTTAATTAGATCAATAGAAAAAACTTCATTTCATACATAGCTTTATTTCATGAATTAATTATTTATCATCATTTATATCAATATTTCATTAATTTTGGCATCAAAGTAACTCAGAAACCTCTCAAACCCGATACACAAGCAATTAAACAGTAAATATCTTAACGCGTCATACATATATTTTTTTTTAATTAGATGCCGATTTAGTGATGAAAAAGTCGTTTACATACCATTTAAAAAAAAAAAATGATTCACTTCAAAAAATAAAAATCGGAGCCTGCCTGTTATAGCAATTTTATATCTTGGAATCTGATATCCTGATAATTGGAACTTAGCCAATATCGCTCATTCTTTGAGGTTTCAGAACCAGTTCCTTCATTAACGTATTAAAATGTTAAACGCGTGGATCTCGATTTGGAACTTGGACTCCTATGGTGTCCACGCAGATCAAGTTTGTGTCAAAACCTGGTCAAATAGCTCTGGTGTTGGTAGAGTTTAGGATTCGAGATTTTTTATTTCCCGAACAATTTGGCCAGTTGATCCGATCTGCCGAATTTCATGAAGATCAGCCGACTATACTATAGCCATATAACTGAACGATTGAATATGATCCAATTTTGGTATTTTTAAAGATAGAAAATTATGACTCTTTTTAAATGTGAAAGTCTCATAAAGATTGACCAAAAATATGATATTTGAAAATATATCCAATTATACCTGCACGAGTATATGAACTTCGGCTTCGCCTCCACCCATTAAAATGTCGCTCTCTCCGCGTGTGCACTGAAAATTTCGACCGAATACAATTTTCCTCCCATAGTATTATTGTTTAAGTTTTACTAGACACATTTATTTATTATATTTTTATACCCTTATTATTTTGTTCAAAAGTGTGCAACGCAGTGAAGGAGACACCTTCGACCCTATAAAGTATATATATTCTTGATCAGGATCACCTCCTGAGTTGATATAACGTGTTACTGGATGAGTTACTGTGCTGATGCTGATGAATCGTTTCTTCAGATCCAAACTGGTTGATATAATGGTTGGCATGTTGGTACAGTTCTCCCTAGATCCATGCAAGAATGAAGGGCCACAGGATCATATTTCTTGAATGGAAGTGGAAGCCGTTGCATTAATCCCACCTAAAACGACGCGTGAGTCAGTCCAAAACAACAAGCAACTTTGTCTTAAGACAAACTTAAATATTTTCTGACTATGCGTGAGCTCTTCCCCTAGAACTGTTGCGCACAGCTTCAATCTAGGCAATGATACTAGCTTTTCATTGCTTTGCCCATTTCCATTCTCTAAGGCGTCCACCAAGGTGTATAGTTCTGGACCTGGATAGTGTGACCGGAACCTTTCCATCGAATATGCGTCTTGGGATATGCAATTTGATTAAAGGTTAGTTATTAGTTGGGCAAAGAGATAGTTATTTCATTCGGACTGGAGATTCTCAGAGGGGCTACATAAAGATTTTTGGGTCTACTACAACTGGCGCAAATAACCCTAATGGGTCAAAGTTACGTGATAGCTCAGAGTAAACCACAAATTTTGTTAAAACCATGTCTCTTTAGGCCTCCATATAAGTGTAAGGGTTTTGACACTGTATTGATCCAGTAACTCTTCTTCTAACGGAGAGAAAATTTTGCGAGTAGATCGGCATTGGCCTGATCAGAGGTCTCAGATGAATTTTCAAACGTAAGCAGAGGTGGAAAAGATACATGTTTACGATTAGTGTTTACAAAGTTATAAAACGGCTTCGGATCCTGAGTAAATTGTATCCGGCAGCGGCGAACATAACTTCTGTAACATTCAGCGTTATGCACGGTAAAATTTGACCGAGCTAGTAGATATCTTGTATACTACGTAATGTATACTACGGAATGTTTTCTTTATAATTTTAGTATTTTTATACCCTTGCAGAGGGTATTATAATTTTGTCCAAAAGTGTGCAACGCAGTGAAGGAGACATCTCCGACCCTATAAAGTATATATATTCTTGATCAGGATCACCTCCTGAGTTGACATGAGCATGTCTGTCTGTCCGTCTGTCCGTCTGTCTGTCTGTCCGTCTGTCTGTCTGTCCGTTTCTACGCGAACTAGTCTCTCAGTTTAAAAGTTATCGTCTTGAAACTTTGCACACATCCTTCTTTCCTTTGCACGCAGTATATAAGTCGGAACGGCCCGGATCGGCCGACTATATCCTATAGCTGCCATATAACTGATTGATCGGAAATGGTATAACTTTGGTGTTTTTAGAGTTAGAGAGTTCAAATTTTACATGAGAAAAATAATATGACATGCCAAATTTCGTAAGGATCGGCCGACTATATCTTATAGCTGCCATATAACTGAACGATCGGAAATGACCCAGCTTTCGTGTTTTTGAAGATAGAAAGCTGAAACATAGTACATTACTATTTTTCGTCAGCTAATCCAACCTGCCAAATTTCATTCGAATCGGCCGACTATATCCTATAGCTGCCATAGAACTGAACGATCGGAAATGGTTTTTGGTAGAAATACCAACTTTGGTACTCTTGAAGATAGAAGTTTGGGACTTTTTTTTTAGATTTTTTATTGTAGTTTATTGGTTTTATTATGAGTTAATCATAAGAATCGGTTTGCGATATATATCCGGTCTTAACTGCAAGGGTACATCAACTTCGGCTCCGCCCGAAGTTAGCTTTCCTTTCTTGTTTTTTAGTATTTTTGGTATTTTTTTTTAGAGCCTGTTTTTAGTATTTTTTTATTTGATGAGGCACCTTGAAAACCAAGGACGATTTGTTAAAGCAGATGGATATTTTCATGACACACATGAGTCAAAAAAAGAATTTAAAATATGGTAAAATTTAAATTTTTAAATTAAATTTTTAACCAATTAAATTTAACGTCTATTAAGGGGAGGTTCTTTTGGATTTTTTTGAAAAAATCCTTTTTTTTTTTTAATAAAATGAAAGTTACACATAGTAGAATATACGTGCCAAGGGACGCGTATTTCTTGAGCTAGAGCGTTTCAAACATACCCATGATAACAAGAAAGCTATCTAAAGGCAAAATTTCTAAAAACTTTAAACACGTTTTTCTCGGAACCATGTTTTTAAAGCTCTTGTTGCGCACAGGGCTCGTTCTATTGATCCGATTTCCTTCATTCAAAAAATGTTTAAAAGTACATACTTTTTTGTATGCCTTATACCTAAAATAAAAAATAGTTTTTTATAATTTTTAAACGAGATCAAAGTAAAAAAAAAAAGAGAAAAAAAATCAATTTATTTTTAAACGTCCATGAAATTGGTTTATTTTTACCAAAATTAATTGTCGTTGGGTATAAGGCATAGAAAATTCCATCAATTTTAATAAATTATATACATTTCTAATTTAAGTTCACTACCAGCGGCCCTACACTCGACAAAGCAGAAAAATAGAGGTCTACAAGATCCGCCATTTTTAAGCCGCCATTTTGAATTTCCTGAATATTGAATATTTTTTTTAATCGTTAATAAACAACGAATCAAAAGTTTAAAAGCATAAGTTCGTATGTCTTTTCATTTTCCCTCAATCCATTCTCAAAGTTTGCTTAATTTTCGGAAAAATCCAAAAGAACCTCCCCTTAAGATCGACTAAATCAGCCTTACGGAAAAAGCGAATGGAATGGAAATTGAAACCAGGAATGGTTTCAATAAAACCTCAAGCGTGGGGTGATATGGATCCTCTGGGGTTGAAAGGGGCTTAATTCTGGAAAGAGTGAAACAATCAGGATCAGATACAAAACATAGGTCTAATTGCCGACCTAACGATATCTAACATGGTTAATTTGACCTAGGGCCATGTCAAACATGCCCACGGAGAAGTCATGGGGCGTGATAAGTGATGAAGATGGGTTAGTTATCGACGTTGTACCACTTTAATTATGGGATATTAAAGTCGCCCAAAGCTACAAGTTGGTCACGACTATTCATAAGATTAAAGACGGATTGAAAAGCTGACGAGGAATGCCAATATGTGGGCGGTTCGGACGAAGCCGGTATATATGAACATGTAATATATAAAGGTTTAGCGGACAAAATGATTTTAAAGCAAATAAAAAAAACCGGTATATATTACCGGGGGCAAAACGAACACAATTGAGAGTATGCGGAGCTGAAAAAACACAATGAGAGAGTATTCACTGAGCAAAAAAGGCGTAATTTTTTTTTTTTATTTTTCGTTACGTCAAAAGTTGGAATGGGCACTAAAATAGTGTATTTTATTTTAAGGATGTAGTCTCATGTGTGAGGTT